GGAGGAGGAGGAGGAGGAGGATGAGGTGGAGGAGGCGGACGAGGAGGAGGAGGAGGCGGAGGAGGAGGAGGAGGAGGCGACCGTGGGAGGGGGGAGGGGAGCAGAAAGGAAAGAAGGAGGAGGAGGAGGACGAGGAGGAGGAGGAGTACGAGGAGGAGGCGGAGGAGGAGGAGGCGGAGGAGGAGGAGGAGGAGGAGGAGGAGGAGGATGTGGTGGAGGAGGAGGAGGAGGAGGCCCGGTGTAAGCCGAGGGCGCATCGACGATGCTGCAATTGCCTTCCCTCCAGGCTTCCTGTCCAGGTCCCTGCAAGAAGTTATTTTCATTGCCGAAAGCGTCTCATTGGAAGGCAGCCGTATCATAATGTTTTGTCGCACCGCATTTCAATTCCTAGGGTTTCGACGCCGCGAATCAAGGTGGCTGTTGCGTCCTGACAATCCTAAGGCGTGCCAGAACACCATCCCTGGGATCTCGACACCGCGAGTTAATTTGACTTTTGCGTCCTGTCAATCCGAAATCGTGCCAGAATGCAGCCCCTTCAGATTTCAACCCTGCGATCCTGTCAACTATTGCAAACTATGGAGACGAACGTGCGCGGCGCTAACGCGAGAGCCGCATTTTGAAAAGGAACCACCCTCCATCTTTGAAGCCTCTGCAAACTTTAAGACGAATGTGCGCGGCGCCAAGGCGATATTCATATTTCGAAACCAGCCACCATCCATATCTTTACAGCTGTTGCAAACTTTTGACGCGAATGTGCGCGGCGCGAAGGCGAGCCACATTTTGAAAATCACATGCTTGGAGCGGTTGCGAAGCGCAACCTCAGGATCATACATTGTGAGGAAGCCTCAGGCGAAACGCTAGTCCCGCCCTACTGGCACGTCTGGGGGTGTGACAAGGAGGAGTCAGATGTAAGGGAAAGGGCTGCAGGTCTTCGGTGTGGGCCGCAAGAGGGCTGGAGGCCTTACAGCGGTGGCATAGGCGGTGCAAGTCAACGGGCAGCGCTACAAGAGGCGTGGACGGACGGGTCCCGCCCTCATGCTGTGTCGAGGGGGGAGGAGGAGGAGGAGGAGGAGGAGGAGGAGGAGGAGGAGGAGGAGGAGGAGGAGGAGGAGGAGGAGGAGGAGGAGGAGGAGGAGGAGGAGGAGGAGGAGGAGGGAGGACGGAGGGAGGGAGGAGGAGGAGGAGGAGGCGGAGGAGCAAGGAAGAGGAGGAGGAAAAGGCTCTTCAGAGCGGACGGGGCGGGAACGACCGCGAGCAGCGAGGGTCGACTGGCCGCGCGGCGCAGGGATGCCGCTCCGGCCGTGGCCCCTTCGGCGGCGCAGGGCCCTTCGGGGCGCCCAGGCGTTGGCACTGGCTGGGCTGTCTTGCAGGAGGGCGCCTGTGGAGGGCGCTTCCTCCTCCTCCACCTCCTCCTCCTCCTCCTCCTCTGCCTTTTCCCCAGCCCCCTCCATATCCGTCTTCATCCTTCTCCATCCTTCTCCCCTCTTCTCCTCTCTTCTTCTCCCTTCTCCTCCCTCCTCCTCCCACCTCCCTCCTCCCTCCTCCTTCTCCTCCTCCTCCGCCCTGCCTCCTCCTGGTCTCCTTCTCCCTGTTCCTCCTCTTTCTTCTCCACCCGCGCGCTCCATACTTTTTTTACGAGTGTGTTGGCATGTACGTGCGCCAACGCGTTCTGTAGATCGTGACGTCCAGAAGTGTACATTGTAGGCATGGGTTTGCACTTCGCATCGTTCGCACCCGCCACGCGATTTGCTTGAGATTCACTGCTCCCTGAATTACGCCCAAAAATACGTACATGCTACTCTTTATTTGCTGGGATTCTCGACCAGACCCGTTGGGCCACGGTTCATCCGATGCGAACCAGCCGTTGCCGCACTCAATCGTTTCGATTTGGGAGTTTGAGCGACCAGTTGCGGGCAGAGGCTGCAAGGGCTTCAGACGACTCTCTTGGGCCTGCTTGTAGCTGTACTACCCTCGTGTGCGCAACATCTCTGCAGGACCTCCTTGTCTGACATTCTTGGCACGTGGCCAATGTAGACATACAGAGTCATGTTTTACACGACTGCGCGTTCCCGTGTACGCGTTGTGTCCGTGTGGGGGGCAACCGCTGCTCACTCTCATTGCCCGCTGTGTTGCATGGAGAGTGTGCGAGAGAGAGGGGGAGAGAGAGAGAGAGAGAAAGATAGAGAGAGAGAGAGAGTGATTGAGAGAGCAACCGCTGCCCTCAAACTTTCCCCAACCCCTCTTGTGCATGCGGGGTGCGAGAGAGAGAGAGAGAGATAGAGAGAGAGAGAGAGATAAGAAGCAAGAAATAGGGTGAGAGCAACCGCTACCCCTCCCACTTGTTTGAGAGATAGACGGGGCGAGGAGGAACACACATATATATACACATTTATAAAGGACTATGCAGACCAGGCAGCATAGATATAAAGCGACATACATCATCAGCGATAGAGAGGCGGTGCATCGACACACACATATACAGGGAGAGAGAGAGAGAGAGAGCATGTAACCGTAATACGACGTAGGCTTGTACTTACACGTGCTGATACACATATTTATATATGCTTATAGGAATCGAAGGCTGGTCGATTGATTCATTGATACATGCATCTATACACCTACAGAGTGCTCATTTCTAATTCGTGTGCTGCACGTGGCCTCCGCCGCCCCTTCGGCGCACTTCATTTCTAATTCGTGGCCGGAATTGCAAATGACCGGAATTAGAAATGAACGCGCTTGTTAGGCCCCGGAGGCCCCAGGGCAAATGCATTCGAGCGCGCGCCCGAGTCTGGACCTGGGGCGCGCCATCCTCGATCGGGCACGCGTAGACGTGACGCGCAAATCCTGCGTGTCGAGTACACGTGACACGCAAAATCTGCGTGTCACACGGAGCGCGCCTGGGGCGGGACACGCAGAATCAGGCGGGCGGACACGCAAAATCTGCGTGTCGCACGCCGGGGGTCTGGGGGCCGGGTTGGGGACACGCAGAATCTGCGTGTCACGCGGGCCTCGCCAGGGGGGCGGTCACGCAACATCTGCGTGTCGCACGCCAGGGGTCCTGGGGGCCCGGGGTGGGAACACGCGGAATCTGCGTGTCACGCGGGCCCAAAATCTGCGTGTCGCACGCCAGGGGTCCTGGGGGCCGGGGTGGGGACACGAAGAATCTGCGTGTCACGCGAGCCCCGCCAGGGGGGCGGACACGCAAAATCTGCGTGTCGCACGCCGGGGTGGGGACACGCAGAATCTGCGTGTCACGCGGGCCCCGCCAGGGGGGCGGACACGCAAAATCTGCGCGTCGCACGCCAGGGGTCCTGGGGGCCGGGGTGGGGACACGCAGAATCTGCGTGTCACGCGGGCCCAAGATCTGCCTGTCGCACGCCGGGGGTCCGGGGGCCGGGGTGGGGACACGCAGAAACGGCGTGTCACGCGGGCCCCGCCAGGGGGGCGGACACGCAAAATCTGCGTGTCGCACGCCAGGGGTCTTGGGGGCTGGGGTGGGGACACGCGGAATCTGCGTGTCACGCGGGCCCACAATCTGCGTGTTGCACGCCAGGGGTCCGGGGGCCGGGGCGGGGACACGAAGAATCTGCGTGTCACGCGGGCCCCGTCAGGAGGGCGGACACGCAAAATCTGTGTGTCGCACGCCAGGGGTCCTGGGGGCCGGGTTGGGGACACGCGGAATCTGCGTGTCACGCGGGCCCACTGCGTGTTGCACGCCAGGGGTCCCGGGGGGCCAGGGTGGGGACACGCGGAATCTGCGTGTCACGCGGGACCAAAATCTGCCTGTCGCACGCCGGGGGGTCCGGGTGCCGGGGTGGGGACACGCAGAATCTGCGTGTCACGCGGGCCCCGCCAGGGGGGCGGACACGCCCAATCTGCGTGTCGCACGCCAGGGGTCCTGGGGGCCAGGGTGGGGACATGCAGAATCTGCGTGTCACGCGGGCCCAAAATCTGCCTGTCGCACACCGGGGGTCTGGGGGCCGGGGGGGGACACGCAGAATCTGCGTGTCACGCGGGCCCCGCCAGGGGGGCGGACACGCAAAATCTGCGTGTCGCACGCCAGGGGTCCTGGGGGCCAGGGTGGGGACACACGGAATCTGCGTGTCACGCGGGCCCAAAATCTGCGCGTCGCACGCCGGGGGTCCGGGGGCCGGGGTGGGGACACGCAGAATCTGCGTGTCACGCGGGCCCCGCCAGGGGGGCGGACACGCAAAATCTGGGGGCCAGGGGTCCTGGGGGCCGGGGTGGGGACACGCAGAATCTGCGTGTCACGCGGGCCCAAAATCTGCGTGTCGCACGCCGGGGGTCCGGGGGCCGGTGGCCGAGGTGGGGACACGCAGAATCTGCGTGTCACGCGGGCCCCGCCAGGGGGGCGGACACGCAAAATCTGCGTGTCGCACGCCAGGGGTCCTGGGGGCCGGGGTGGGGACACGCAGAATCTGCGTGTCACGCGGGCCCAAAATCTGCGCGTCGCACGCCGGGGGTCCGGGGGCCGGGGTGGGGACACGCAGAATCTGCGTGTCACGCGGGCCCCGCCAGGGGGGCGGACACGCAAAATCTGCGTGTCGCACGCCAGGGGTCCTGGGGGCCGGGGTGGGGACACGCGGAATCTGCGTGTCACGCGGGCCCAAAATCTGCGTGTCGCACGCCGGGGGTCCGGGGGCCGGGGTGGGGACACGCAGAATCTGCGTGTCACGCGGGCCCCGCCAGGGGGGCGGACACGCAAAATCTGCGTGTCGCACGCCAGGGGTCCTGGGGGCCGGGGTGGGGACACGCGGAATCTGCGTGTCACGCGGGCCCAAAATCTGCGTGTCGCACGCCCGGGGTCCGGGGGCCGGGGTGGGGACACGCAGAATCTGCGTGTCACGCGGGCCCCGCCAGGGGGGCGGACACGCAAAATCTGCGTGTCGCACGCCAGGGGTCCTGGGGGCCGGGGTGGGGACACGCGGAATCTGCGTGTCACGCGGGCCCAAAATCTGCGTGTCGCACGCCGGGGGTCCGGGGGCCGGGGTGGGGACACGCAGAATCTGCGTGTCACGCGGGCCCCGCCAGGGGGGCGGACACGCAAAATCTGCGTGTCGCACGCCAGGGGTCCTGGGGGCCAGGGTGGGGACACGCGGAATCTGCGTGTCACGCGGGCCCAAAATCTGCGTGTCGCACGCCGGGGGGTCTGGGTGCCGGGGTGGGGACACGAAGAATCTGCGTGTCACGCGGGCCCCGCCAGGGGGGCGGACACGCAAAATCTGCGTGTCGCACGCCAGGGGTCCTGGGGGCCGGTGTGGGGACACGCGGAATCTGCGTGTCGCGTGGGCCCCAGCAGGAGGGGGCCAAGGGCCGGGGACCGTGGCGTTCCTGGAGGTCCAGAGACCGGGGGCGACATTTTTTTTTTTACAGCCGCAGGCAGAAGCGCCAGCGGCAGGCGGTCACGGTAGGGCTGCGGCCGCGACAAGGGGGGCGGGCGCGCGCGAGGCCGCGGTCAGGCGGCAGGCAGCAGCGACCCAGGGCGTCTGAGCCAAAGCGTGCATATCCAGGGAGTCTGCAGGGCAGCCCCTGAAAGGAACATGCAACGGCGCATCCAGGGAGTCTGACAACAGGCACCGAGGAAGCCGAGCGCAGCCAAAATGGCGCGTAAAGCGTTCCCAACAGATCGAATAGGAACGGGTGGGGAACGGTCCCGAGCGGGACGTCAATCCAGGGAGTCTGACGGGTAGGCACAACCGGGGGCGACACGCGAAGCCTGCGTGTCAGTCACTCGGCGGCCTTAAGGCTTCAGACTGACGTGACACGCAGGATTTGCGTGTCACGTCGACTACGCGACACGCAAATGCTGCGTGTCACGTCACACGGAACGCGCTCGGGGCGTCGTCGCGTAAGTAAACGTGGTACGCAAATCCTGCGCGTCACCCGGAACGCGCTCGGGGCGGCCGGGCGACGCGACACGCAGGATTTGCGTGTCGCGTAGACGTGACACGCAAATCCTGCGTGTCACACGGAACGGCGACGACGTTGCTGTTGCCGTTATTAGTTTGATCTTTTACGAGCGTAAGCAGAAGCTGCGCCCTGACGCTTTGGAGACACGTTGGGCGTCGCGCTTAAGCACATGCCTTCCCGCCGGCACCTCTCATTTGCAATTCGTGGCCGGAATTGGAAATGACCGGAATTACAAATGACCGGAATTACAAATGAGTGCTCTGTATTCACTTATGTGTTATTTTTATGTATTCCCACAGATCCGTATCTTTGATGAAGGGGGAACGATATTTATATATATATATAGCGAGAGAGAGAGAGAGAGAGATGGAGAGAGAGAGAGAGAGAGACACAGTGCAGCCCCCCTTTTCATTCCCACCACTGCGCGCGCGTGGAGGGTGCGAAGGTAATCGCTTCCCCCTCTTTATTGCTCACTCTGTGTTGCGCGTGCATGTGTGTGTGTGGAGCGAGAAAGTGAGTGGAAGCGAGAGAGACAGAACTGACTCGACGCGGTGCTCCCCATATGCGCATCTCTTTCTCTTGGCACGTTTTTCTATGGGTATCTGTGAATGAGCGCTTGTGTGCAAGAGCGAGCCAGTGGCTCGAGAAACCCTCATCGGCTGCAAGTCTGAGTGCGGGTGAGTCGCACGTCTGACAGCGAGCGAGTCCGAGTGCGAGTACATGTGAATGCTATTGAGCCTGAGTTTGAGTGGGTCTGAGTGTTCGTAGGTATGTGTGCGAGCACGTCTGAGTGTGAGTGAGTTTTACTCTGAGTTGGTCGGAGCGTGAGCGAGCCCCAACATCCTTTTCCTCATCGTCATCCTCGTCCCTCCTCCTCCTCCTCCTCCTCCTCCTCTCCCTCCTTTTCATCTCTCCCCCTCATCCTCGGCCCAACAAGGGGGATGAGGATGAACGAGAGGAGGAACATCCTCACAACCAGCTCCGAACGCAAGAGATGTTGAGGGCGCAAACGCGCAAACCGCCTGAGTCATCCCCCCAATCTGGGCGCGAACGGGCCTTGATATACCCCCTGGAGCCCCCCCCCGCCTGGGAGTGCTGAAACCAGCGCCCCGCCTGAGAGATCCTCACAATCTGCTCCGAAAGCAACGATGTTGAGGGCGCAAGCAGGCACACCGCCTGAGACATCCCCACTGGAGCCTCCCTTGGGAGTGCTGCTGAAACCAGCGCCTCGCCCGAGACATCTTCAGAAACTGTTCCGCCAGCAAGATACGTTGGGGGCGAAAACAGGCAACCAGCCTGAGACACCCCCCAATCTGGGCGCGAACGTGCCCGTGAGATACTCCCTGGCGCCCCCCACCCCCTGGGAAGGCTGAAACCAGCGCTTCGCCTGAAACATCCCCAGAAACTGCTCCGACAACAAGAGATGTTGGGGGCGCAAACAGGCAAACCGCTTGAGACATCCCCCCAATCTGGGCGCGAACGGGCCCGTGAGATACCCCCTGGCGACCCCCCTCGGGAATGCTGAAACCAGCGCCTCCCCTGAAACATTCCCAGAAACTGTTCCGAAAGCAAGATATGTTGAGGGTGCAAGCAGGCACACCGCCTGAGACATCTCCACAATCTGGGCGCGAACGGGCCCGTGAGATACCCCCTGGCGCCCCCCTTTAGCAGTGCTGACACCAATACCTCGTATGAGTCTGACTGCGTGAGGAAGAGCGAGCCAGAGTATGACTCAGTGTGAGTCTTAGTGTGAACATCCTCACAACACGTGTGTGTAATCTGAGTGAGAAAGAGCACGAGTGAGTCTGAGTGATGCATGGTTCTGAATGCTGGAATGCTCTGAGCGATGAGCAGGTCTACGTCTGAGTGATGCATGTGAGAAAGAACGAGCAAGTCAGAGTCTGAGTGGGTCTGAGTGCGAGTGTGGGTCAGAGTGAGGAAGTGGTGTGACGGAGTCTGAGTGAGAGAGCGAGACAGAGTATGAGTGAGTCTGAGTGATGAGTGTGTCTGAGTGATGAGGAAATCTGGGTGATGGATGAGTCCGAGCGATGAGTGAGTCTGAGTGATGCGTGAGTCTGAGCGATGAGTGAGTCTGGGTAAGTGGTTCTGAGTATTTTAGTTAGGAAGAGGTGGAGGGAGGTGAGGTGTGAGGGTGTCCTTCCGGCGCGATGCAAGTAATAACAAGAACCCCATCTTAGGATATGGGGGACAAAAGGAAGAAATACACCGCTCCCCCTCCTAATTATGTCTTCATCTGTGTTGCGCATGGAGGGTGTGAGGGTAATCGCTGTTTGCTCTCATTGCTCACTCTCCCACTCTGTGGTGCGTAGAGACAGACTCGGAAAGAGAGAGAGAGAGAGAGACTGAGAGAGCAGCCGCTGCTCTCACCATTTTCTTTACCCCTCTTGTGCATGCAGAGTGCGAGAAAGAGAGAGGGAGAGAGAGAGAGAGAGAGAGAAAGAGAGACAGAAGGAGAAACAGAGAGAGAGAGAGAGAGAGAGCAACCGTTACCCCCTCCCACTTTGCGAACATATAAAAAGGGACGAGGAGGAGCATGCAGAAGAAATGAAGTATGCGAACAGAAATCTTAGAGACACCGAACGAAATACATCATGATCGATAGAGAGGCGATAGATCGACCCAGAGAGAGATGATCGTAATAGTGAGAGAGATAGAGAGACATTCGGTTAGTATCGGTATCAGTATCGTTACCATCGTCATCGTTATCGTTAGCATCGTCAGGCGTATCATCGACATCGTCGTCATAATCATCATTGTCTTCATCATTGTTAGCACCGCCAAAACGATGTGGTAGAGCACGTCATCAGTTACTAACTTGTAGAACAATGCGTGGGAACGTCGAGAACGACAGTCGTCTCCTGTGAGGGCCCCGTCGCCGCAGGTGGATTCGCTTCGAAATTCTGGTCAAAGCGCACTCTGGGAGAGGTCCGGAGAGTAGCGGTGTCGGTACCGCTTTGCTTCCCGAAGCAATTAAAAACCGTGACGCGCATGAGGGCAGCCACGACCCACAAAATGGCACCCGATGCTCGCCGGGAGAGGAGAACGGGGGGAAGCTGTCATCGAAATTGCGTGCGTTTTCTGTCTTCCATGAAAAGGTGGACATCCTCAGTCGACATGTTGGACGACATTGTCCCGCACTCACTCTGGCCAGCATTTATGTCGTAAGTAGCAGGTCTCAAAGCGAGTGCTTGAGGGCGCAACTCTCGCTGCAGTGTCGGCGGGCTAGCGACTGGACTACCAGCTCTTCGCAGCAGCAGCTACCCTAGCAGAGGAAGGGGAGGCTGCTGTTCACAGAGTTGCTCGGGCAGACTTTCATCTCGGTCGGCTTCCTTCTGTGATCTCTGATTTCGGGAAGACACATGATGATTCAAGTGAAGGGTGATTGCATAGTATGTATGTGTACGTGCACGTGCGCGTGCGCGTGCGCGTGCGCGTGCGCGTATGCGTTGTGTGTGTTTGTGTGTTTGTGTGTGTGTGTGTGTGTGTGTGTGCGTACGTGCGTGCGTGCGTGCGTGCGTGCGTGCGTGCGTGCGTGCGTGCGTGCGTGTGTGTGTGTGTGTGTGTGTGTATGTGTGTGTGTGTGTGTGTGTGTGTGTGTGTGTGTGCGTGCGCGTTTGTCTTTGTGTGTGTGTGTGCCTATGTACGATGTAGCTTCTTGCCAGTGTCCCTCGGGGCCCACCCGCTTCCAGGTTGTTCTCTGTGGTGCTCCCGCGCTTCTGTCCAGCCAGAGTCCCTCGGGACCACTGCCTCCCACCTCTGCAGCGACTGCGCTGTTCTTCAGCAGCAGCCTCAGTCGCCCTCCGGGCTGCCACCGCTGCCAGAGTCTCGGAGGTCGCCAACTCTACACCTACACGCCGATCTTGGCCGGGCCGATCCCGGGACCAGGAGCGGCGTGTATATGCCTTCTTGGTCAAGCCAGGACGACGTAGACACACGTCCTGGGCCCCGGCTGGGCCTGGCCAGGCTCGGTGTAGTGCCACCCTCCTGGAGCCGACGTGGGCCCTCTGGCCTGCCACCGCTGCCAGGGGCGAACGTTTTGGTTGCGTGCGCTGGTGCTCCTCCCGCCTGCCCCAGCCCTGTCCAGGCAGCCAGGGCGCGGCACTGGTCTGGGCTTCCTTCTGCTCCCGAGCGCGGCCGCCGAGCTCCTGCAACCCTTGCGCTGAGGCCGCGCGTACGTGGGAAGAAAAAACTCTTCTGGGCTGCTGGGCCATGACGTGCGTCATTGCCTCCCCCTCCCTCCTCCATGACGCAACGCTCTGCCCCCGCAGCGCGTCGGGCGCCACAGGTCTGTGGTGCCGGACCCACGCGGCGGTGGGGGGGGGGCGTGACGTCATGCCCTCCACCGCCCGCCCCCCTCCCTCCCCGCCCATACCTGGCTCTAACAAGAGCTTCCTTGGACACTCGCAACAAGAAGTAGATGTATGCACGCTCATCGGCGAGACGAGTTGTCGCGCAGGCGTGCTCAGCGCTCGCACGCGCGCGATCCCAAGACGTCCCCATGACCACAAAATGGTTCCAGGAGGGCCTGAGGCCACAGACGATAACGTCCAGACGGCCCTGGGACGACGCCACCAAGACACGATCCCGCCATGGATTCTGGACTGCAACAGGCGGACTCGAATATGACCAAACACATGAGCCACGAGTGATGCCGAGATGGCCCGATGGCAACAAGATGGATCCACGCGCGCCCAGGGTGGCCCCATAATGAACACGCGACTGATGCGCAATCCAAGCATGACCGAGATATGCTCTCAAGATGATTTCAAGACGACCCAGACAGGGCAGGAATGCTGCAACTTCGGAGCCCCACCTTACTTCCAGCCAATCCCAGCATGGCGGGATCCGTGAACGACTTGGGATATGTGTTCACCGTATCTGTAATGGGTGGGATCTTAGTCTGGCTGAACTAACAATATGACAATATACATGGGTAGTAAGTTCGGCGGGATCCCGCCTGGCCCACGGCAGAAAACTACGTTGCTAGCCTTCTACGGGGGTATGGGGGTTCGGACGAGGCGTCATTTACTTCCGCTGTCTCCCCCAAACCTTCCGACGGCCTTCTGCCGTCTTCCGCCTCGTTTTACTTCCGTCGGCGTCCGCTGGCGAGCGATGTGACGAAAATTCAAGGAACTTTCTTTGGGCCGATGTAGCGCCAGTCATCGGCGCGAATAAAGAAGTGCTCTCGTACAGCCTGCCTTCTTTTCCCGACGCCCGTTTTTTCACAGCCTGCTAGAGTTCGGCGGCGCGCCTGGGGGGACGGCAGAGGGGGCGGGCCCTCTACGAAGGCTCAGAAAATCTCCGGCCTCCTGACAAGCGTTCTAAACCCGCTCCGCAGCCACAGAGGGTTTCTCAGAAGGTCAGAGGGCAGGGCTTCCGAGTAGCCCCGCTGCCTTCTGAGAAGGTCAGCCCCTTATCACTTTCCCTCCCTGGCGCGCCGCCGACGACTGGCGACAGCGGTTCGATCAGTGCGTTATGTTGGCGCCTGCCGAGTTTCGTATCGGTACCGCCGGAAGGCCGCTGAACCACGTCGTGCATCTCACATTTCTCGGACGACCCGCAGGGATTCCGCTCCGCATGGGTGCCAGCGCAACGAGCGGCTCGCACAAAACAGTGCGTGTACGTGGCGCAATCGAGAGCGGTGCGTGGCCACCGGTGACGGGAGCGACCGATTGTACCGGACATGCGCGAGCAGGGGGTGCAGCTGTCGCGACACATGTTTGACAGTGGCTCCGAGGCGGGAATTTACACATGATCGCCGCCTGAGGGATCGATCTTCGCGGACCTCCACAGGCGGTGGATATGGATCGATTCTGGCCACGGGGGTTCCAAATGTATCCATGTCCACCGCCCGCTGGGGCACCATGTCGGTCCCCAGGCGGTGGATATGGATCAACTCCCGCTTCGCAGTGGCGATGGCCCTGGGGGTGCCCGACCCAGCGTTTCAGTTGCAGCTTCCGCAGGTTCAGCCTGGCCCAGTTTCTTGACCCCCCTGCGCGTGCACGTGGCTGTTGTCGCAGCGCTGGCTCGGCGTTTGCTCCAGATGTCGCCTCAAATCAGTCCCAGGCTTCCTCGGGGCTAGTCGCACTTGGTTCCACGCTTGGGCGGCGCACCAGCAAAATGACGAGGGTCATGTACATGTGCAGTCGAACGTTCGGAAGCATGAGCGTACAAAGAGCGTGGCTGCAGTTTGCCCCAGTTGGTGGTTTCTGGCTGGTGGTTTGTTTCTGGATCACTTTCCTAGCTGCGTCTGGAGGGCCCTTGGCACACCTTCCTCGGGATTACGGCGCTCGAACCTCGCAGCAGAAGCTCGGGCTTCCCTCTGCAGCGGTTCAGGCTCGTGGTTCTTTCGCCAGTCATTATTGACGGAGCGGGGGGGTGAAGAGATGAGGGGAGTGCGAGGGGGAATAGGCATGCCACGTGATGTGCAAGCGACGGCCGGCCCCCCGGCGCCATCCCGCACGAGCGAGAGCCTCTCACACACAGATCCACCGTGCGCAGCGCTAGCGATGCCCCAGCGCCGAGCCGCTTCCACCCGGAGCCCTCCTCCACGCTGCGCGTCTGTGCACCTGCCGACCCGGAAGCGCCTGCCTCAGGATCTCGCGGGGCGTCGGGCATCAGGATGCCTCCCCGCCCCCGAGGGTTGCAGATGCCCGCGCCCGCTTCCCACGAGATCCTCGGGGGGCCCGCCCCCCAAGCTGGAGGATCTGGGCGAACAGCGGCCCAGCGGGGCGCAGCAGCAGCGCCTCGTCAGCCCAGGATGTGTGCGCGGGGGTGGGCGTCCTGCAGCCGTAGCGGCTGGCCGACGGTCTCCCACCAGCGTTCCGAGGTTCTGCCCGTCCCGCTCCAGTCGACTGCACGTACAAGAGTCTAGAGTGACCCTTCGCCGGAGTGGCCTTTGGTGCGGGCTCCAATTGTGGGGCCACCCGATCACGGAACGCGGAGCGGCAGCAGCGGCCCGCGCGCCCGCGCTTGGCCGCCCAGCGTCGTCCCCCCCCCGTAAGCCGCGCACCAAAGGTCACTCTTGCCCCGTGGCATTCTTACGTGTCGCCGCTCCGGGGCGCCCGCCAGGGCCGTGGCGGCCGCGAGCCTCTCAGCAGCTCCGCGCCCAGGTGGGGCCTCGCGGGCTCCGGGAAGCCGGCTGCGGGAGGAGCCTTCTCGGGGTGGCTACGGGGTCGGTGCCCTCTCCCTGACGCAGGCCCGCGGAGTTTCCTGAGCAGCAGGTCCTTGTGCACCATGTGCACCACCATCACCACCGCCACCACAGTGCCTGGCCCGGGCCGTGCGGGGTCCCAGGATGGTGGACAGACGTTCTTGGCCTTGGCCAGGAGGGAGTGTACTACACAATGCCAGGACCCAGGGTGGCCCTGGCCAGGCATGGTGCTGGCTCATAGGTTCCGTGTGCGTAGGCTTGCGGGGATCGGCGGAAGCTAGGCAGGAAGGGCTCCGCCAGCGGAAGCCAGAGGAGAGTTTTCAAGAGAAGCCGTCGGCCGCATCGATGTCGCTTCTCCAGGGGTCCGAATCCAGCGCTGGCTCCCAGACCCCTGCGGCGTGCACCAAGGCGTTATGGCGTTGGCGAAGCATTGTATGGTTACCCCTGGACTTGCGATCAGGGACCTTCGCCCAGAAGAGAACCGAGCTGCCGGCATCGCTACCAAGGGTAAGGCTAGCCCGAGGTTTAAATAGCAGCTCGCTGGTCCGATTCGCATGCGCACCAGGATGCAGGAGCTGGCCGCTGCCATTTTGACCAAGCAGGTAAGCGGGTCGGCAAGCCAACCAAGCATCACAGCCGAGCGCCCCCAGCAAGAGGACGACTAGCTCATGATCTACATCTTCAAGGGCTTCGGTGAGATCTGCAAGCTTCCTTGCACCCTCTGCAAGGGATGCTGCGATGCGTTCAAGGCTGGGAGGGTAAATCACATGAATTTTCTGCAGGGTGCGCGTCCCGCTCGGGTTCGGTGGCGTTTGTTTCGCGAACTTCTCGTGGAACTCGAGCCCACTTGAGGGACGGAGGAAAGCGGGGTCGATTGCGCCGACATTCTCGCGTAAGCTTCTCGCGTAAGGCCGCGCGTACGCGCCCTCTCCTCCACGCGGCGTGTCGCGCTGGCAGTCCACGTAAGCCGTGGCGTGCGGTCGCTATGTCTTCGCGCATAAGACTCGTCTCTTTTCGTCGCTTCATTGGTTTCCGCTGGCTTCGGAATCTCTGGAGCCAACTCCTGTTTTTCCCAACCTCAGCGCCTGCCTGTTCTTTGGAAGCCTCGGAGGAAGCGTGCTCCTCGTGCAACACGTTCTGGGAGCCCATCATCGCCAATCCTCTTGGGAATTATGTGATCGGCACCTGGGTCGCCATGGGCTTCGTGTGTGCTGCAGCGATCTGGGGTATCAGCCAGGACCTGAACTGCAGTAGCGATCTCAAGGGCAACATCCAGCTCTTCTGCATCGCGAACGTCGTCCTCGCTTGCATCCATTCCGGTCCTGTGGGGAGAACTATAGATCCCTGCACTCTCGCCGTGCTAGGTGATACAGAACAACCTGAGGCCTCTCGAGTGGCAAACGAGTGGCTAGTCTGTTGTGGGCATTGAGGCATGGTTAGAAAGCGTCGTGCTGTCGCTCTTCATGTTTGATCATACTCATGCTTCCGCATGCCATACACATGGCATGGTCAGCAGGAGGTCTAGACACAATTCACATATCATGTACGCTGGTGGAGGTGACGCGTGTTGTGTACGCAGCCTTTCACATATAAGCCACCGCTAGACTCGGCAACCCCATCGTCGCGGTCAGGCGAACCGTCTTGTCAAATCGGTGGAACAAGTCCGATCGAATTATCCTTGCAAATTTGACCACAACTCGCCCATCTTCCTCCTCTTCTCACAATTGTCCGAAGCTAGTATCGAGGACGCCTACGGCGAATCACCGCCACCCCCTGCCCTTTGGAAGCGGCTATGTGGCCAAACAATGGGCGAATGTCTGGCCAAGCTGTTGGACTATGTGCTCCCCCAGCCGCTGTGGAACCCTAGGCGCAACACTTGGGGGAGGAGGAGAGAGTTGAGGCGGAGGAGAATGAGGAGGAGAAGGAGGACCAGAGTAGTCCCAACATGCATCAACAATGCTGCAACACACCCTTCCGTCCCAAGTCTCCTCCCCAAAGTCCCTACAAGCCTTCGGTTCCACTTCAAGAAGCGCCACCTTGAAAGAACAGCGCCCTATGGGCATGCCATTGGCGAGAGCACTGTTTTGAAAGGGAGCTGCCTTGCATCCTTCTTGCGAGTAGCCAGGACTGCGCAAAGGTATTACCATGCTGAATGGATTTAGTTTTGGGCCTTGTGGGAGACCTTCAGGGGCCACCTTGGGCGAGCAGGCAGGCTTCCTTGCGACATTAGGGGCCCCCAATCGCCTACTCAGAAGCCCTCACTTGACTACAAAGGCGCCCCAAGGCGCTGGTGGCCTCGAAGAAGCGCCCGCGAGGCTTGACGAAGCCCCATTGCCTTCTGCAGCTCCAGGGTGGGCACGCACGAGTTCCCTGGGGGGCCATGCTCCTCAATCAGTGCTTGCACTCAAGGGGTCCTAGCGGAGACTGAAATAGCAGGTGAAAGTTGTGGGTCGATTTCGGTGGGCGGATGGGTTTCTGGGTTCGCGGGTTCCGGGTTCCAGGTTCCAGGCCGATTTCTGTGGGCGGTCTAGGTCCCAGGTTCCTAGTTCTGGGTCTGGGGGTCTTGGCTCGGAGTATATACATATATATATATATATGTATATATACATATGTGTATATATATGTATGTATGTATGTATTTATATATGTATATAAAGACACACATATATATGTGTGTATATATATATTCCCATTTCTATATTATGTTATTACCCCGGACCCCCCCCCCAAATCGGACCCCCAGAATCCCGGGCCCCCTCAGCCCCCGGGACCCCCTGGACGCCCCTGCAGAAGGCCGCCCAGGCATTTCAGAGCTCCGGGAAGCCCTTGCTGGGCCTAGGCGACGGGCCCAAATCGGTCAGGAGGGCGGCCGAACGCCCGAGGGCCCCAAGAGGCCCCAGACCCACCAGACGCCCGAAGACGACCCAAAGAAAACAATTTTAATCTAAGATTCTTGCGTAATTTTTGGAATGCCCAGTACTTCGGTCTTCTGGGCGTCCGAGGCCGCCTGGGAGGCTCGAAAATCGCCCCAAACCGTCCGACTGGGCTTCCAGGCAGTCCAGGAGAGCCCCAAGATGGCACAACAGGGTTCCAAGATGGCCTAAGAGAGCCCCATGGCGGCCCAAGATGGCCCCAAGACACCTTCCGAAGCATTCCAAATCGTGACCCGGTCGTTCAGGGAGACCGCGGTTGGAGCAGGGTAGGCCGAGGAAGCCCCCAGAGGCCCCCAGAAGACGCCCAGGAGGCCTCCATAAGGCTTTAAGAAAGCCTGAACAACTTCCGTGAGGCCCCCAAAGGCTCTCCAAGGAGGAGCCTCCGCAAAAAGAGCTAAGGAGGCTGGGGAAGAATTTGCAGGGTAGGGCTAGACTGAGGAAAAAGAAACATGGAGGAAGGAAAACGAATAACATTATGATAACGCCGACGCCGGAAAAGGCAACAAGGGGTTATCGCTGAATTGTTTGTTTGACCTTCCTGCCATTCCGCCTGCATGCCAAACTTCAAGGACCAAGGTGCATGGCGCGAAACGCAAATGCAACCTTGTATATATATATATATGTATACGCACATCGATATATACGTATAGAGGTATACATATGCACACATATATGTGTGCATAGATACATATATATATATGTATACATATATATATATATATACATCGATGTATGCGACCACTCCCATATACGCATACGTATGTAGACATATGTATCAATACATGGAACTGTGTGCGTATCTATCCGTATATGAATGTATATATGTAAGCATGTAGGTGGGTATATGTGGAGGGAGAGAGATAATATATACATAGAGAGATGATGCAGGTAAGAGAGAGAGAGAGAGAGAGAGCGAGAGAGAGAGGGAGAACAACATAGAGGAAATCATGCCGTACTGGCAGAGTGTATCGTACAGACGAGAGAGTTGGCAACATATAGTAGACATAGCAGAGTTGGTCATACACACACGTATACACACATTGGTAAACAATAGGGCGTATACGAAAATCGAGTGCACATCGGGTTTAGGGCGTAAACAAGGTAAGTCGAGTAGATAATGTGAGACAGAGAGACAGAGATAACGCGACGCACACACATACACACATGTGTATGTATAGACAGGGAGGGAGAGAGAGAGAGAGAGATAGAGAGAGCGATAGAGAGAGAGAGAGAGAACGAGAGAGAGGGAGAGAGAGACATATAATGCGAGTGTGAGAGAGAGAGAGAGAGAGAGAGAGAGAGCGAAACAGAGAATAACTATATATATAGAGATACATATAATACGTACATACATATACAGAGATCAAAAGAAAGAGAGAGGGAGAGAGAGAGAGAGAGAGAGAGATAGAGAAAGAGACAGAGAAAGAGAGAGAGAGGGAGAACAGGCGTGAGTGTCTGCGGGCATACCAGGCAATCCATGATGCATATGCGATATTCCTCAAGCAGTTTTAACATCCAGCTGCCTGCGGCAAACCCCGCCAACGTGCCTGTGAAACAGCGCAGCAGGAAGAAGGCTGAGTGTAGGAATAATGCAATCTTGACGAGCGGTCAGAACTGTGACGGGCCGTGAAGTCGACCTCGTCTCCGTCCGCGCGACAGGGTTGGGAGGTCGAGTTCACGCCCCGCTGCAGTTTAGCGAGCGGTCTACACTGAGGCGGGTCGGGACCTTGACCTCATCTTCGTCCGCTCGGTAGGGATCAGGACGATGATGGTGATGATGATGATGCTGATGACGATGGTGATGATGGTGATGATGATGCTGATGAGGATGATGATGACGATGATGATGCTGCTGCTGATGATGATGATGATGATGATGGTGATGCTGATGCTGATGCTGATGCTGATGATGATGATGATGGTGGTGGTGGTGGTGATGGTGGTGTTTGTGGTGGTGGTGGTGGTGATGATGATGAGGAGGAGGAGGATGAATAGGAGGAGTTAATTAACAACTGCAGACAAGGAGGAGAAGGCCTCTTGAGGGCTCTCTGGGGGCTTCCCGGAAGCCTGCTGGCGACCTCTTGGGGGCCTTTTGGAGCCTCTTGGGGCTTCTTGTGGGCATATTGGGGCTTAGCCCCTCTGACGCATTCGGAGGCCGTCTTAGGAGCCCCTCTTGGAGCGTTTTGTGGCCGTCTTGGGCCCTCTTGGGATGCTCTTGGGCGATCTTGGGTCCTCTTGGGCCGACCTGGGCCCTCTGTTGGGGAGCCGCAGTGGCTGTTTTGGAAGTATCTCGGAGGTCTCTTAGGCCGTCCTGGACGGTCGGAAAACAGGCGTGAACCTGAACAAACAACATTGACCACCTAAGGGGAGTCTTCGCTGCCTCGGAGGCCTCTTGGGGCCTCTTGGGGGCCCCTTGGGGCTCCTTGGGCCGTCTTGGGGGGTTCTTGGCCCGTCTGACGCCCTCGTCGGCAGTCTTGGCGGCCTCTTTGGGCTGTCTTGGTGCCCTCTTGGAGCGCTTCAGGGCCGTCTTGGGACCCTCTTGGGAGGCTCTTGGTCGATCTTGGGGTCCTCTTGGACCGACTTGGGGCCCTCTTTGGGGCCCTCTTGGGCTGGCCGCTTAGGCCGTCTTGGGCGGTCGGGACCCGAAACGGGTGAGAATCTCAACAACATTGACAACACAATATCGTCGGAACATCAATTCTTGCCGCTTCCTCGGGGGCATCTTGGGGCCTCTTGGGGGCCTCTTGGGGCCTCTTGGGCCGTCTTATTGGGCACTTGTCCCGTTAGACGCCTTTGGAGGCCGTCTTGTTGGCCCCTCTGAGCCGTCTTGGTGCCCTCATGGAGCGCTTTAGAGCCGTCTTGGGGCCCTCTTGGGAGGCTCTTGGGCGATCTAGGGGTCCTCTTGGGCCGACTGGGGGCCCTCTTTGCGGCCTCATGGGCTGTCTTGGAAGTATCTTGGAATCTCTTAGGCCGTCTTGGGCGGTCGGAAACCCGAACTGGTGAGAACCTCAACATTATTGACCACCTGCAGGGAACCAATGTATTGTGCCTCCTCGGGCTCTCCTGGAGGGCCTCTTGGAGCCCTGTTGGGCCTTCCAGGAAGCCTCTTAAGCCGTCTTGAGGCCGTGCAGGAGCCCTCTTGGGCCATCTTGGGCCTTCTTGGACCGTCTTGGTGAAACCTTGGCTGTCTTGGCAGCTATCTTGGGAGCTTGTTGAGTCGAAGGACGAAAAGAGCGCTGGAGAGCAAATGAAGGGGGGGATTTTCCAACGATGCGTACGGGGAGGGGAGGCTGTCGGCCCTAGGAAATGCAACACACAGCTTCTAACCACCAGAGGAGCATGACGGAAAGAACGAAGCACGAGTGATGACGTTCTTGGTGGGGCGAAGTTCTCTAGGGAGAGGCTCAAAGAGAGGTGCGAAGCGCGACCAAGCTGGCGTAACACGCCCCCCCCCTCCCCTAAGATTGCCCAAGATGTCCCCCAAAGCGGCCAACAGGCCCCCAAGACGGCCCAAGAGAGGTCCAAGAGGGATCCAAGACGGCCGAAGAGTGCTCCAAGAGCGCCCAAGACCGCCCAAAAGCAGTCCAAGATGGCCTCATATGGCCTTCAGACGGTCCAAGAGGGCCCCGAGATGGTCCCAGAGGTCCTCAAGAACACACCCACGAGGGCTCGAGGCGGCCAAACACATGGATTTTCCGAATGTGGGTCCTAGACTTTTTTCATGTCCTCGCCTTTTCGGGCTTCCGACGGCCCGAGACGGCCCAAGAGGCCCGACATATCGCGCCAAGACGGCCCATGAGGCCCCAAGAAGGCCCCGAAACGGTCCAACAGGGCTCCAAGAGGGACCCAAGAGGCTCCCAAGAGAGCCACACGAGGGCCATGGGAGGCCCACAAGAGGGCCGAAGAGGGCCTCGAGAGGGCCCCAAGACGGTCCAAGCCTCCCAAGACGGTCCAAGAGGCCCTTGCGACGGCCCAAGAGCCTCCCACAGGACCCCCTAGACGGCCTGAGGAGGCAAGGCACAACACACTGATTTCCCGTATGTTTTTCCCCAATTCGGCTTGCCTAAGGGGTTCTTACTGGGATAAACGGCCCCAAAGAGGTCCTCAGGAGGACCCCGAAAGGGCCTCAGGAGGCTCGCAACGTTTATGCTCCTAAGTTTTTTTTCATGGTTTTCAGTGTTATTGCCTTCTCGGGCCAAGAACGGCCCAAGACGGCCCAAGAGGCCCCAAATATCGTCCCAAGACAGCCCCAGAGGCCCCCGAAATGGCCTGAAAACTATCGAAGAGGACCTCACGACGGCCCAAGAGGGCTTCAAAACTACCCAAGAGAGCCCCAAGACGGCTCCCCAGAGGGCCCCAAGAGGGCCCCAAGAGGCTCCCAAGAGGGCCCCAAGAGGCCCCCAAGAGGGCCCCAAGCCGGCCAAGGGCCTCCAAGTCGCCCCGAGACGGCCCAAAAGGGCTTCAAGACGGCCCCAGAGGGTCCCAAGACGGTCCAAAAGGGTCCCCAAATGGCCCCCAAGAAGGCGCAGCGACGCCACATACAAAAAACGATCTGCAACGTAAAAACTCTGAGCATCAAGGCTCCCAAGAGCAAGCGGTGCCATGAGCCATCTCGGACAAGTTTCTGCAGCGCTCTTTCCGTTCCCGTGCCGGCCCAGGTGACGGAGAGAGCGAGGTGCGAGCGATGATGTTCTGGCGGGGCGAAGCCCGCTGGGTGACGGAAAGAGGGAGGTACGAGTGACGACGTTCTGGTGTGGTGAAGCCCTTTGGGGAGGCGTCCAGGGGAGGGGCGCAGGGGGGTAACACGCCCCCCCCCCCCCCAAAGACGGCCCCAAAAGTATCCAAGATGGCCCAAGATATTCCCAAGTCGGCCCCAGGAACCCCCAAGCGCGTTCCAAGATGGCTCCAAGACGGCCCCAGAGCGCACGAAGAGATGCCAAGACCGCCCAAGAGTGTTCCAAGATGGCCTCAGATGGTCTCCAGATGGTCCAAGAGAGCCTCAAGACGGCTCCAGAGGCCCTCAAGAGGGCCCCCGAGAGGGCCTCAGGAGGCCAATTATTTTGATGTTCCTTAGGTTTTTGAAGGTTTTACGGGTTCTCGCCTTTTCGGACCAAGAGCGGCACAAGACGGCCCACGAGGCCCCAAATATCTTCCCAAGACGGCCCAAGAGGCCCCCCGAAGGGGCCGAAAACGGTCCAAGAGGGCCCCAAGACGGCCCATGAGGGCCCCAAAACGGCCCAAGAGGGCCCCCAGGTCTAACACGCCCACTCCGTGCAAGCACGGTGGCGGATACCCCAACGAATGTTGTTGCTCTGGTTTGCCCGCCAGCAATGTCGGACATTTCTGGCGTTTTTTGGCGGCCTCTGCTGTGGGGTCCCGCGCTCTAGGATACCATTCCAAGGGTTCCCACCCCATCTAGTTTACGCTGAACAGCGAAAACTTGGAGCGCTGGCTGTGTTTCCCGCCGTATGGTCCCACCCGCTGGTGTCCCACTCCGTAGGGGATCACCCCAAATGGTCCCGCCCCATAGGGTCCATGGGATCACACCCTACAGGTCCAATTCGCTAGGGTCCAACCCTATCGGGTTTCACCTTATGAGGCCCGCGCCCTGGGCTCCCACCCCATAGGGTCCCACCCTATTAGGTCCTACCCTATCAGGTCGCACCCCACAGGGCCCCACCCCAAAGGGTCCCACCTTGTAATGGTTCCCCACAGGGTCCCACCCCATGCTCCCGCCCACAGGGTTCTATGCGCAATGTCCATCTTTATTGGGTCCCACCCCGTAAGAGTTCCACTCCATCTTGGGTCTCACCGTATGTGGTCCCGCCCGCCCCACAGAGTCCCAGCACATGGCCCCACCCCATGGGGTCCTGCTCCTTGGTGGAATCTTCCTCTCGGGGCCAGCTTGGGCCCTTTGATGGCGGAGCCGAGTCTGGGCCCGAGGAAGTCCATCTTGCGGCAATGTCGGCCTCCGAGTTGTTTGACTCACGCCGAGGGGCGCTGTTGGGCCGAGTTTGCCGTTGGTTTCTCTGGCGGGGCCTCCACGAAGCGGCCTCGCGCGCGTGCGCGCGAATTGTCGAACAACATAGCAACCGCGTAACTACCTGATTTATTTGAGTGGAGGATTGAACGCGCGCTGTTCTTGTCTGACTTTCTTCAGGAGCCCAGAGTCCCCTGATCTCCCACCGTTCTGCCCGGGGCATTTTTGCAATCCTGGGGCGAGGAGCATGCGGGCATGGAAGGACTGGAAACGAAGGCAACCAGACTCGAGAACATGTCAGTATGACCAGCACAGGAATGTCCTACTACATGCAGCGCCAGATCATCGAGAAGGTCGGCAAGCCCTTTGCCGAGATGACCGCGAAGGAGATCCAGCAGAAAGCTGGGGAGATCCTGCTGTACGACGTCCCTGTCTGTCTGTATTCGTTCCTCGCCACGGCGGGCTACGGCCTTAACGCCTGGGCCCTCTCCCTGGGCAGCTGCGGCGACTCTCAGCCGCAGTCTGGCTCCGCCTTCGTCTATCTGAAGGGCCGGCGCCCTCGACCACCGCCCCCCGCGGAAGCGGCGCCACCACGGCTGCATCTCGGGACGGCCCAGCGGCGCTCATGTGGGCCTCGTCGGGCCATCTGGGATCTTTTTCGGGGGCATCTTGGAGCCTGGATGCACCTTCGGGGAGGAGGATGAGGAGGCGGAGGAGGAGGAGGAGGAGGAAGAGGAGGGGGAGGAGGAGGAGGAGGAGGAGGAGGAGGGGGAGGAGGAGGAGGAGGAGGAGGAGGAGGAGGAGAAGGAGGAGGAGGAGGTAGAGGAGGGGGAGGAGGAAGAGGAGGAGGAGGAGGAGGAGGAGGAGTAGACCTGGCGCCCTCAAGAGGGGGCCGGCGGCTCTCGTCTGGGGCGCGCTCGCGTTCGGCTACCTCTTCTGCTGGTACTGCTGCCAGTGCTGCCAGGGCGCCGTTCCGTCGAAGGGCAAGAGCGGCGGCGCCGTGCCGCCCGCCACGGCGGTCGGCGCCACGGCGTGACGCACCGCACGCCGCCAGTGCAAACGCGAGGCCATCCTAGCCGACGGCCCAGACCTCCAGGGCTTCGAACACATCGAGCACCGATGTGCTTCTGCGTCTTCTACTTTTCCTTCTCTCGCTTCGTTCGGCTCTTCCTCCTCTTCCGTGCCCTGCTCTGCTTCGGCGCGCCCCGCCTCTGGCCCGATCGGCGCCTGACCGCCTCTTGCACCCTTGCGCCCTCTGGCCTAGAAGGTTTCTGCGCCTTCGGCGCCTGGCGACCACCTCCGGGCGAAAGGACGGTCGAGCAGAGGCTCGGGATGAGACGCTGGTCCCGAAGACAAAAGCCAAGAGGCCCTGGGGCCGCGAGGCCCGAGAGTGTCGAGGCGACGGAGGTTCGGGGACGCAAGCGAGGCCGGCCTCGCCGAGAGTGCACGGCTCTCGTGGGTCTCGGGCGCGCGCCCTGAGCCCGAGGCCGGAGAGGTGGGGCAGAAGCGATGGTTGGGCGGGTGGCAGAGGGGGGGTGGCCTCAAGAAGGGGGGCGAAGGGAAGGGCCCTACGGGGACCCTTTGGGGCCCCTTTTGGAGCCAGCAGGGGTCCCAATAGGGGCCCTGAAGCGCCCCCGCAGGGCCCTTCTCTTCACCCCCTCTTTGAGATCACCCCCCAGTACCACCCGCCCGAGAGGGGGGACGTATGGGAGGGATGCTGCAGGTTCGCCTCGCCTCGACACGGCGGGTACATCGCCGTTTTCGCTAGCAGGTCATGGGGGCCTTGTGTGCCCTCGGAGTCCCGTTTTCAGGGTGTATTCGCGTGCGCTGGTGTCTGGTGATCGATGAGAGAGCGCCGATGCAGCGTCGATCATCCTCCACTTGGCGTCGATTAGCGTCGATTCCTGTCGATCCGCGCCCTTCAGCGTCGACTCGCAATAGCCAGCAAGATGACATGGGAGGCTCCGATTTGCCACAGGGGATGGAGGGCTGCTGCAGGTTCGCCTCGCCTCGACGCGGCGGGAACAGCAGCGGGCCCGCGAGGCCCTCCAGGGGGGGGGCCCGTCTCGGGCCTCGTGACCTCCATGTCGCCCGAGGCGGCGCGGCGCGGAGACAGTCGCGCCTCGCGCGTCGCGATTCCGAATCGCGACGCGCGGGCAACGCCGCAATTAAGACTCCCCCATGGAGCTTCGGTCCACTGCGCTGGCCACCCGGAAGGCCCTTCCCGCCGCACAAACCGATTCTGTGGCCCGAATCGGATTCGGGCCACAGAGTTGCCCTCCTCTCAGACAGCACATCACGGAAGCTTCCGCTCGTCTTGGCTTGAACGAATGTCGGCGAAGCGCCGAATCGCACTCAATAGCGTCGAGTAGCGCCCAGTAGAGCCGAATGGCGCCCAGTAGCGCCGAACAGCGCTCACGTCGCTCCCAAAAGCGACCAATCGCGCCCCACAGCGCCATTATTGGTTGCCATGGGGACGACCAAAAGCTTACATGAGTTGCTTTCTACTTCCTCAGCGGGGGGCGGAGCGATGCCGCACAGATAGCCGCACGCCGCTTCTCGCGGGGCGCGATGCGCAAAGCTAGGTGACCTGGGGACCCACGGAGCGCAACCCACGGCGCGGAATTCGTCCGAAACATGTCGGCAGCCCCGGGGAGCTCTGGGAGAGGAGATCGTTCAAGCGTGAGCGAGTTCACGCGGTGTCAGTAAAAATCAGGGCCACGGTCATTCAGGCAGGAACGTGCCGTAGACGGATGGGGACATGGAGGCATGGAGGGAGGGAGGGGGAGGGGGGACGAGGGGGAGGGGGACGAGGAGGAGAGGGATCAGGATCAGGAGGATATGGATGATTCTCATACGCACCTCTCCGAGGGAGCAGGGATCAAAGCCGACTATTGGTGAAGCCGTTCCGCGCTCGGGGCATCCTTATACTTATGAACATCGGACGCACCATTCATGCAGATCGCTGCGCCAGGGTCAAACACACATAATGGATGTTCAGCATCTTAGGATAATGGCTACAAACAAAACTATAAGTCCAATGACTTTGCACATCACAAGTAGGAACGAAGTGTTTGCCGATGGTTTCATGTGTAGAAGTCCGTCAACTACACAACGGGATTCGGTGAGGTTGCACATGCTGCTAGAAAGCAAATTCCTTTCTTTGGTTCGCCGTGTAGTTCCCCACCTATGTTCAAGCTTTTCTTATGCTCACAGGGATGCTTCTCAGCATTTCGTATACTCGCAAGCTGTGTCAACCCCATCGGTGGCCCGCATAGTTTTTTTATGAGCCTGGGCACGCGCGCGCCAGTTGTATTAATGACTGTGGTAATGATGATGCCGCTGACGATGATGCTGATTCTGATGACAACGAGGGCCTTGTTGATGCTGGTAGTCATGCTGGCGACGTTGATGATGACGACGATCACGACCTTCATACGTGTTTGCTTAGGGCGCATGGTGTAGATTCGAGGGGGAGGAACATGAGGACGGGGCGGAGGAGGAGGAGGAGGAGGAGGAGGAGGAGGAGGAGGAGGAGGAGGACCACAGTAAGCGCAGGGTGCATCAACGCTGCTGCATACCGTTCCGTCCTGAGTCCCCTTCTCGTGAGTTTCTACAAGGGTTCCTTTTCACTCTTCGGGGAGCGGCCCCCTGAACTCGAGCATGTTCTTTGGGTGGAGGGCAAAGGGGGAAATCTGAAATGCCGGCTCGATGGACTTTCGAGCATTGAATCTGCGAAAGGTGAATCCCAGGACGGATTGATTTTCGAGGTGCAAAAGCCCATATGGATTTCGCCCTGAGCCCTCCACCCGAAGAAAATGCCCCCTGAACAGCGACCGCCCCATGGTGCGTCCTCCTGGCCGTGCCGAGTGCGAAGAGGTAGGATCCGGCAGTTCAGGGAGGTGTCCTCCTGGCTGTGCCGAGTGCGAAAAGGTAGGATCCTACAAGGGTTCCTTTCACTCTTCGGGGAGCGGCCCCCTGAACGGCGAACGCCCCATGGTGCGTCCTCCTGGCCGTGCCGAGTGCGAAGAGGTAGGATCCGGCAGTTCGGGGAGGGTGTCCGGCGAGCGCCCCGTCGCGAGAGAAGGAGGCGCCCGCGCCATGCACAGAGGTGCTTCTGAAAGGTGCCAGAATTGCCCTCCTCCTCTTCCTCCTCCTCCTCCTCCTCCTCCTCTTTCTCTTTCTCCTCCTCCTCCTCCTCCTCCTCCTCCTCCTCCTCTTTCTCTTCCTCCTCCTCCTCCTCCTCCTCCTCCTCCTCCTCTTTCTCCTCCTCCTCCTCAAGCCCTGGCCCAGCTTTGCGAACCAAGCGCCCTCCATGCGTGTGGCTGCTGCACACCTGCCCGCAGCCGAGTCCCGTGCGCAGCGAGTGCGACGGGGGCCTCCATATGCATGACATGACATGCAGAGAAAAGGTGCCGCCTTCGTGCCGTGGTGCCAGGCCCGTGCCGCGCGCGTGCTGTGGCGTGCCCGCGTTTGCGAGTGCGAAGAATGCGTGACCTGCGTGCCGCGCCGTGCCGTGCCGCCCGCGTGCCGTGCTGTCTGCGTGCCGTGCTGTTCGCGTGCCGTGGCTCGGGTTGACCCAAAAGGGGGTCCAGCGACAAGGAGGTGGTACAATAGATTTGGTGCAATAGATTTCTGGGGTTGCAATACATTGGGGTCGTGCATCACACGTCGGGGCGCAGATGTATTGCTGTACTTTCGCGTGCGATGCATTACTTGCAGTACCATGCAGTACAATCCTCCGGCGCAGTACGTCTGCAATACAACGGCCCCAAAGCTATTGCACCTCCCACTTTCAGCCGGACCCCCTTTCGGGCCACCCCGAGTGGCGTGCCCGCGTGCCCGCGTGCGCTGTGGGGCCCGCGTGCCGTGCCCGCGAGCCGTGCCGTGCGTCCGCATGCCGGGCCGGGCCGGGCCGTGCCGTGCCGCCCGCGTGCCGTGCCTTGGCGCCCGCGCCTGCCGAGATCGTGGCTCGGCAGGGCTGGGGCGCTGGTGCAAGCCCAGCAGAGCTGTCGCTGCCTGCGCGGGCGGCGGTGCGCCCGGTGAGAGCCCAGGGTCGCAGACTTAGAGATTGACACCAACACCACCCAGGGTCGCAGACTTAGAGATTGACACCAACACCAATATCGGCGGTGTTCCTCCACCGAGGGAAGAGGATCCCGATCTCGGTGATGGTGGTAATATTCTGGCTTCCAAGGTGGCCGAAATATTGCCACCAACACCGAAATCGAGGATCGTCTTCCTCCTGTGGAGGCAAACCCCCTGTGTTGGTGTTGGTGCCAATTTCCGGGCCTCCCACAATTTCCGGGCCTCCCACAGGGCATGGACCTGCTGCTTCCTCTGGGAAGCAGCAGGTCTCGCCTGGTCTCGCCTGGCGGGTGGCCGAGGGCGGCTCGTGGGCTCACCGCGCCGCTTGCACTGCACAGCCTGTATTGCCCAGCTTGCACCACCGAGCCTGCACCTCGTGCCTCACGCCGCATACTTTTCACCGCGCAGCTTTCACCATGTGCCTGAAGCCGCATGGTCTTGCACCACGCAGCTTGCGCCCCATATAGTTTGCACCGCCTTGCTTACATCACTTTGCTTACACCACATGTGTTGCACCGCTCAAAGATTGCACCACATCGACTGCAGCGCGCGTAGCTTGCCCAACGTAGCGTGCGCAACATAGTTTTCGCATGTGGAGTGCAAGATCTCATTATTTCGGGTCCGCGTATTAACGTATACGCGCGAACACACACACATATATGCATATACACACATATATATATATATATATATATATATATATATGAAAAAGAGCGTGTTCTACCGCTGCTGGCGGAAAACCAGGGAGGGTCACTGGGGGTTTCCAACCCGTCCCCCCCCCTCGAAAACCGGGGGGGATCATTACCGGTTCGATCCAGTCCATCATGAAAAGGGGGGGTCCATACCGGTTTGAACCTCTTCCCCCCCCCTCGAAAACCGGGGGGGGGTCACTATCAGTTCGAGCCGCCCCCCCCAGTCCATCATGAAAAGGGGGGGGTCACTGCTGGTTCGAACACACACCCCTTCCCTCGCCGCCCGCGGCAAACGATTCCCGATCTTCGGGACAGTTGGACAGTGGTGGGGATACTTGGACCGTGGTGGGGACGGTGGTGGTGGGGACAGTGGGACAGTGGTGGGGACTGTGGGACAGTGGTGGGGACGGTGGTGGTGGGGACAGTGGTGAGGGGACAGCGGGACAGTGGTGGGGACAGTGGGACAATGGTGGGGACGGTAGTGGTAGGGACAGTGGTGAAGGCGGTGGCGAGGATGGTGGTGGGACAGTTGTGCAGAGGGGAGAGCGGTGGGGACAGTGGGGACAGTGGGACAGTGGTGTGGACAGTGGGGACAGTGGGACAGTGATGGGGACCGTGGGGAATGTGGGGAGAGTGGGACCGTGGTGGGACACCAGTGGCGAGAGTGAGGACAGTGAGACACTGGTGGGGGCACTGGTGGGGACAGCGGGGACAATGGTGGGAACA